TTTGTTTGTATCCTCTTGTCTAGCCATAACTAGGCTCTTCCTGAATCAACTACTAATTACTCGTTGGCCCATTCTCATATCAATATTCCACGTAATCTTTCTTGGGTTATTTCCTTTGTCTTAACTTACGTCTCGCACTTGCTCCTTATTTATCAATAACATCTCGGGAAAAAAACCTTACTTCCTCTCCTTGACGTCGTGCTTGCATAATGTTCTGAAATCGTAGCCTATCTGTAGGATTTGGGTAAGTGCAAGCTCATTCCTTTTTCATTTTTATCGCATTCTTCCTTTACCATTCCATAGTTACTAGAACCACTTAATCCTGACTTAATGCCACATCACTCCGTATTCCCCCCTTTTAGGGGAGTACTAAGATTTAGAGCCATGACGATCTACCTATAGATGTTTTACGTCTTTACGTTTGGCGTCTTTTCACATCATCGATGACCCTTACTCGCCTTGCGGTAATTTTTATATACCAAGGACAACAAAATTCTTTAATCACAAGGGTGACACTTAGTATAACTGGCACATACAATCCCTTAACTTTGCTCACATTGCTTGCTTTAGGAAAATGTCTTCCTGAATGACCTTTAAAGGTTATTCTTCCGTCGTCTATTCTATTATCGCCGGAACACAATCTCTGAATTTTCCATGATGCCGACTATTATCAAATCACTCAGTCTCTAATTCATGTTTAGTTTATCTTGTTCACCAGTCCATACTGATTTCTATTACTCTGGGGTCTAACTTTTTCCTTTTGGTAATCACGTTAGAGTCATGAACTTATTTCTCGAAATGAGGGTATGACTTTATGGCCTATACTCTTTTGTTGTCTCAAGGCCTGTCACCTCTCGTATTTTTCTTCACTTGACTATAGACTCTGAAATATTGTCATTTGTTTTTGATCTACCGTTGTCATCCATGTATCACATCTTACTCATAATGCTTCATTAACTCTCTCCTTATTTCCATGCTAATATTTCTGTCTATCACTTTATTCTGAAAACTTCAACAAGACATTATTTTGCTTTTATCTACCCTTGCTCCATCTACTAGCTCTTCGGGTCGCCTAACATTCTCTCTCTACTAGGGACGGGAGCTACACTAAGGTAATATTTATTCCTTCTAGACTTTCAGTGCCTATCTTTGTAAAAATATTTCTGAACATTCTAGTATTCATATCTAGCTGTACTATTCTAGAGTTCAACATCTGGGTGTCTCACAAGGAGATCTATTAGCACATTTGTAATATCCTTCGGAAATGTCAACTAACTCAAACAATCTATTCACCATTTTAGGTTTCTCTAACCCCAGTCGTATTATGTTATCCCGTCCTTCTCTTAAACCATATCTGTTAGCTCCCATAGGGCATAACTGAGATAGGTGTGGCCGATTGTACATACATCTGTTATTGTTGAAGGTAACTCAAAGTGCTTATATTTCTCTGCCTGAATTGTAAATACTGATAATCTTCATCAACTGGGTGCCTCGTACCCTTCTTCACCTTGCTTCTTTTACTTGTTGAAACTTGTATCTACCTTCTGAATCTCTCATTGCTTTTTACCATATGGGTAGATATTCTTGCCTTAAGGCTCCTTATCAAGAAGCTTACACGTCTTAGTACACACATGTTCTGCTAAAGACCTCACATTTACTCATCATAAGCATCATGAAAATTGAGTTCCTCTGACTCAACTCTTCCACAGCCACATGCAATCTCTTACCAACCGTCTTTCTAGATGTAGGCTTCGTCGTATTATGAATAAAATAGAGTTTAGGAAATTGAGTTCTTACAACTGACCTCTACCACACGATCTAGAGTAAGGAGAAATAGAGACAGTCCTAAATGCCATGTAGCCTCCTGCTTATAAGTTTGGTGCATAACACACCCATAAATAAGATTCTACTAGACACGGTTTGTAGATTCCCTAGGACAGAACTGCTCTAATACCACTTTTGTCACGACCCAAACCGATGGGCCGCGACGGGCACCCGATACCTTACTCAACCGAGTACCAACGTAACGTATCTTTCTTATTATATCATCATAGGTAAGTAGGTCAGAAGGGGTGTCATGACATAACCAGAGTAAACATAAGGGAATACCCGACATAGAACGACCCAACTTGATATAAAAACTCATACTTGTGACATACAAGCCTATAAGGCCAATGTAATCCTTTATATACTTAAAACATAGGCCGACAAGGCCATACAAGTATCCATATATATGACATCTGTTTACAAGCCTCTAAGAGTACATAAATATCATAAAGGTTGGGATAGAGTCCCGCCATACTAATCAATATATGACCTAATCATACTGACTAAATAAGCAACTCTGGAGAAAATGGAGCGCACTAACATCTTCCGCTGAACTGATAGCCTACTTGGAGGGCTCTCAAACTGTCTATCGGGACCTGTGGGCATGAAACACAGCGTCCCCAGGCAAAAGGGACGTCAGTACAGATAATGTACCGAGTATGTAAGGAATGAAAATCAGTAAATAATATACATGAGAGAAACATGGAGTGAAAGACTCAACATGTAAGTCTGAATGACTCTGTGAATAATTAATATTTACAATGGCATACATATGCGTATAAATATCAAACCATGCATATGTATATACGTATATAACATCATCAAGCCTCTGAGGGCATCCCATCATATCATCTCGGCCACTGAGGGCAAATCATCAACGTGTACCAGCTGATCAGGTGGTGGTGCATATACAACGTCGTAACCTTTTTCCCATATCCCATATACATATAATATACGCGTATATAACGCCATCTGGTCATGGGTCATTGTACATGTATAAATGAATGAAATGCATATGAAATACATTAATAAGGTTTCTCAAAATGTCATATGACCATTATGCCTTTGATTAATATCATGAAATAAACTTTATCAACTTACGTATTTTCTGAGACCCATGAACAAATGATAGAATAATAAGACACATGGGGAATCAAGAATATAGACACCCCTAGTATTTCTATGAATAGAGTCATTTATGAAAGTTGCGTATTTTGCTCGTTTCATTTGTATCATTTGGATCATGCCAAAAGGAAAGAAGGGATAGCCTTAACATACCTGAACCGATTCTCTTGACAATCCCTCTAATACATGTCTTTTGCAAAGACATGTAACGGCGGATCGAAGTACGAAAAAATTCGTGTAATATTCTTGAGAAAGATTGTACCGTGCTCCCTTAGAATTTATAAATCCCGTTGCTATTACACAGTATAACCTCGTATGAAATTCTTGAAGCAAATTACGTTGCCATAAGCATCGTAAAGGATTCATTTTGAATTCCTTGAATTTCATCCGTTACTACATGTAGTCATAAGCCTTAATTTTATGGTTTTGAGAGGCCTTTTATATAAGTAGGTGTGGGCCCCACACTTTAAATGACTAAGCCACATAATCCTTTAATTGTGACACCTTGCCATATGATTCAAGAGTCATTTAATTGACCAATCTTGTTGCCACGTTGGGGACTATTCAACCTTATCCAAATACACTAATTAATTAGTTAATCTCCCACTAAAATTACTAATTATCTAATTATTCACATAATTAGTAATTATCTTAAATTACTTAAAATACTACTCATTTTTAACACACTTGGCACACCTTACTATTATGGTCGTGTGGTACCTTGTATGGTACTAGTCCATAAATACCGGGTATTATAGCTCGGACCGTAATTTATCCCAAAATGTCAAACTTCGATGAAACTCATTTCTTCGATTTGCTTACCCTCTCACCTTCACGAATTTACTTATTACTTATTTTAAATAGCACAATGCTTATAATCTCAAAATAATCTCATTCCCGAACTCACGTCGATTAACTTACAACGAAACTTTAACATACGAAAATGCGGGATATAACGTCTCATTTCCGAGCTTTCATTAATTTACTTATGGTATACTTTCACATACGAAAACATGGGGTATAACAGAAGTGCCATCTTATTTTAAGATAAATTTTTAATGTAGATTTTATATGTCAAGTGCCATTTTAATTCATGATGTACTTTTTATGTATATTGTTTTTGCATATTTATATGTCTAGTGCCATCTTAATTAAATTTAAGATATATTTGTTTATGTATATTTTATATGTCAGGTGTCATCTTAATTTAAGATGTGTTTTTATGTATATTTTTTTGTATATTTTATATGTGTTAATTCAACGTATATTTTTTTAATATACATTTTGTTTATATTAACGTATATTATTATTGAAGTAAGATCTTAAAACAAAGGAAGAAAGAAGGAAGAGAAAAATACAAGAAAGACAATTAAAAGGAAAACGAATGGACAAATTTAGAAGATATATTGGCTTTGGCAGAAAACACAATTAAGAAGGAAATCCCAAAAGGTAAAGAAGGAATGATGAAGAAAAAGAAGAAAAGCTAATAGATAAAGAGAAAAAATGTATGATTTTCGTATAAAGAATTATTGACTTTCCATTCAATTTGCTTATTTTTAGGGATTAATAGTTAATATTCCTATTTTAATGAAACCGTGTGCTACAAATATAAATATTTTTCTGACACAGTTGTAATACTGAGTTTCATACTAAGAATTTGTTATATTTCTTTTACACTGTGACAATTATGTAAAGTTCCCTTTAATGAGTCACCCATCTTAACCGGGCCAAACAGTCCATTTGCCACCCCTAGTTATTACTTCAGTTCTTGAGTATTTGGATGAACCTCGGTGCCCATGCCTCGTTCAAATTGTGTTTTATTACTTAATTTGTACATGTACGTTTTTTTTTTTGACATAGTGAAGTGAATTTTTCAATAATTAGGAAAGGTTATGTTTCATTATCTAATCCATAAAATAATATGAGTACATAGAGATGAAAATGAAGTTAAATGAAGAACTTGGAGCAAGTAGGAGAGACCAAGATAAATTTCACTAAAATACAATAAGTTAAAAATGTATCTAGGCAACACAAATATATATATATANATAATTTCAAATGCTAATATCTCATTTTTCTCTCCATGGATAAAAAGAGAGTTCCACTTTTCCTCCATCTCCTCCATGAAGACGGGTACCTTTTTCTTTTTAATTAGATAAAGAATTCTTGCTTCAAATCTGATATTCTTCTCTTTTTGCTCTTTTGATTTATTTATTTTAACAGGAAAACCGATCTTGGCCTGTGTTATCAATACATGCTGTCACCAAAATTTCAAGCTTTCTTGCAAGTTCAATCACAAATTAGAAGAGAAGCATTTTTTCCCAGTATTTGTAGCAAAAGATCAACCATTGTTATCATTCGTTGGTCTTATATTTAATTCCTTTTTCCTAAACCGTTGTTTATATGCTTTTTGGAGACGGACTTATGTATCGTTCTTTCAGCGGACTTCACAATCGTGTTTATGGCGCCGGAAGAAGAGAAGACGACTCGCCGTTCTCCTCTTGATTTCCCCATTGTGAGGTTCGGAACACATTAATTTTGGTTAAGTTATTTAAATTAATTTGGAGTTGTGTTCTTCTACCAACAAATTGCAAAGAAATTGCAACGATATTTCTTTTTTGGAGATAATAGCAGCTATTCGGAGTTGTCGTTTACTTTGCGCTAAGAGTAAAACCTAAATGTAGAAGACAAAAAGATAATTTGTTTAATCTAGACATAGTTATTGGTTATATTAGTGTGAGTGATTGTTGTTGTTTGAATGGTTAAAATTGTGCTAATGTCCTCAAACTGCCATATCCCACCATAATATAGAATTATTCGCAATTATAATTTGGTTTATTTTCAATCTTTCTTTTTTATCTTTTATCCCCGAAAGGACACTCCATTTTAATCTTCACATAAATACAGTTATAATTCTTATATTTAATTCCTTTTTCCTATTTAATAACCTTGCATAAGCTTCAGGTTACGAAGTAAATTCTCATTTTGTGATTTTACCAATTCACAGCTTTCATCGTTTGTCAGTTTTAGTGGGAATCAGACTATGCCAAAGACGCAATTACTCTGCCTGCAAGTTACAGTAGTGGACCTGCATCATATCCCCTCACTTGTTAGCCATGTTGGTTAACTGCATCATATGGTGCAACTGCCATGATAAGGAAGAAGTAGGAATCAAGATGGCACTATTTTTGTTCATTACACTAGGAAAATTGGTGGAATTAATGCAGATGTTGAACAAGTGGAGAACCAACGAAATGTATTGGGTTTACCTCCTCATATGTCTGATGCTCGTACCATCAATAGGAAATCAGGGTATTTTTTCCGTTTCAAGGAACGTAAAATTAAAAGATTAAAACTGATTTTAGCCTATTATTTTGATTGTATCCGAACTAATGTGTTTAGAATATTTGATCCCAATATAAAATATATATGGTCTTCCTTTTTTAATAATAATTTTGATGTTTAATTTCTGGTGCATTATGCATTATGTATTGACTTTTAGCCTAAATGTTTTTCCTTCAAATGCCTTTGCCATGGAAGTTGGATAGGAAAATTAAATTGCTAATATGACAGACTTGAATTGAAGTTACCATTTCAAATTGTAACAGATTCTTTATGAAGCAAGTGTGAATTCGGAAGCGAAAGTGAAGCTAAAGGGACCAACACCATGGCTAATTGGCTCAAGTCTATTCATCCTAAATTTTCCTTAACCATGAATACTTTTGGTGTAAAAAATCTACATATGTATATTTTCTTCTCTTTTTTTTTTTTGTTTTTTTTTTCCCCAAAATTTTCTCAAAGATAAATGTTCATCGGCTCTCAGCTATTTTCTAATATTATACATTTAGCAGAAAACTAACAATACTGCATGAGTTTTCATCTAAGGGCCTTAGTAAACCCTTATGAATGGAAATATTTGTACCACATTTGCTTGAAAGCAAAAATACACATTACTTTGCTCGAGAGAACTATATCGCTTTACCCTTGAGGCCTTGACTATATATAATATGTAGTATATTAGATATTCTGGTTTGCCTTTGACAAATACGTTAGATGTTCTAGTTTGCCTTTGACGATCTCTCGATTATTCCGTCTATCTTCAAATTACAGTTGCAAATGCATCCCTTATATGTTTGTGTTTTATTAAACCAACTTATTTGATTGCCATTATTCTCTGCTTCAAAAGCAAATGCTTCCAATAGTACAAAGAAGATTAGAATCATTGGCTGTCAACGTCTTGAATTATTTTTTGTGTGTATTTTAGACGAAGTTGTATGATCGCGCAATTTACTAGTTATTATAAAAAACCGAAACTTGCACTCTTTGTTGCCTTGATTTGTTACATATACAAATTAAAAGATGTTTTAAATTATTTATTGTGCTAAAATTATCTATTATCTTGAGATATAATTTTAAAAATAGTTGTAAGGATTACACGTCGCCCAATTTCACCTATAGGTCGTGATGACGCCCAACACTAGCCAACCAGTAATTTAAACCCATATGCTATTCTTTAAAATTAACCGAGTAATTAAACTCTTTTTAATTACAAGAATTAAGACAATATGAAAAGATCTGGTAAATTAAAATAATCAAGAAAATAATTAAATCCAAACATTGTACTAGTATGTGTGCCAAGACCTGGTGTCACAAGTGTATGAGTATCTAGTAGATTATACAAAAATTTTAAATACTGTATGGAATAAAATAGACAGAATAAAAATTTTAGGAAGACGTATTGGTTGCTGCAGAATGGCTCAGAAGGGCAGCTCACCACTATGCCTTTGGATATCGTGGGTGCACGTCGATAGGTCCAACTATAGCACCCGACTCAGGTCCTGCACAACAGTGCAACAAGTGTAGCACGAGTACGTAAACAACGTGTACCCAGTAAGTATCAAGCCTAATCTCGAAGAGGTAGAGACGAGATGGTCGACTTTGACACTCACTAAGGATCAATAATAATTAATAAAATAAAAATAGAAATATTTAAATCAACATGATTCACAGATTTAACAATAATTTTATTTAACCAACAGAAATAATTAAATTCCTTCAAATGCAACAATTCCTAATCTATTAATTAAATTCACAAGTTGCAATTAAAATATTAAGGTATTGTGTAATTATTATTATTATTAGGCACGATTTCTGTTGAGGTCGTACGACCCGATCCAGAGTGTAGTGTACACTGCCGAGGGACGTGCGGCGCGATCCATAGATGCATTTATACTGCCGAGGCGTTCGGCCCGCTCCACAAGAAAGGAGAACATTTTCTTATGTACCTCCGGAAGGAGAATTTATTTATTGATAGATTAATACGAGAGGATGCACAATTTCTTTTAACAATTAAGTAATTTATATAGAAAAATTAAGTATATTAGATTTTCATCTTTTACTATATTTTCCTAACAATTCACAATATATTACAAATAATTTAATTAAATAAGGAATATAATTTATACACGTAATTCATTATTTGAGTCCTAAACTACCCGGACTTTAACATAAGTAGTAGCTACGCACGGACTCTCATCACCTCGTGCGTACGTAGCCCCCCACAATTAGCAATAATTATTAATTTAATCACCTATGGGGTAAATTTCCCCTCACAAGATTAGACAAGAGACTTACCTTGTCTTAAAGTCCACTTTTCCGATCAAATATCGCGTAAAATCTCAATTCGATGCCGAAAAATCCGAAACTATCCAAAGGTTATATAAAATAATTAATACATGATCAATAATTCAAAAATTATCTATTAAATAAATTACCCTATCCAAAATGATAAAATTTCTAAAATTTACCTCGGGCCCACGTGCCCGAATTTCGAAAGTTTTTCTGAAGAAAACGTTACCCATAATCTCAAGAACTCAAATATATAATTTCTATCAAATTCCATAACCATTTTCATGGTTAAAATCTCATTTTTATACAAATCTAAGTTTTTCATCTAAACCCTTGATTTCTAAGATTTACCGATTTTTCTTCACAAATAACACCGGTGCACCCCATACACTCGGTCTGACAAACACTTTGGCTAGTAACTCCTCAAGTTGTTCTTTCAATTCTTTCGGAACCATGCGATACTGTGGGATAGATATAGGTTGGGTATCTGGAGCCAAATCAATACAGAAATCAATATCATGATCACGTGGCATGCCTGGAAGATCTGAAGAAAATACATCGGAGAACTCTCAAACTACAGGCACTGAATCAATAGTCGGAGTCTCTGCAGTAGTATCCCGAACATAGGCTAGATAAGTTAAACAACCCTTCTCAACCATGTGTTGAGCCTTCATAAAAGAAATAACCCGATTAGATGTACTAACAAATGAATCCTTCCACTGTAACCTAGGTAAGTCTGGAATAGCCAAGGTAACAGTCTTGGAATGGCAATCTAGGATGGCATGATATGGAGATAACCAGTCCATGCCCAGGATAATTTCAAAATCAGTCATCTAAAGCAATAAGAGGTCTGCTCTAGTTTCATAACCACAAAATATAATAATACTGGACCGGTAGATCTGATTCACAACAACAGAATCGCCCACAGGAGTGGACACATAAACAGGAGTACTCAAGGACTCACGAGAAACACTTAGAAATTGAGCAAATAGAGAGGACACATATGAATACGTAGATCCTGGATCAAATAATACGAAGGCATCTTTGTCGCAAACATAAATAATACCTGTAATCACAACATCTGAGGCTTCTGTATCTGGTCTGGCCAGAAAAGCATAGAACCGAGCTGGAGCGCCATCTGGCTGACCTTCACCTGGCTGACCTCCACCTCTAGGACGACCCCTACCCACCTGTCCTCCAACTCTTGGTGGTCGGACAACTGGTGGAGCAACTGGTGCGGTAATCATAGGTTGTTGACTCTGCTGCACTGGTCTACCCCGAAGCCTGGGGCAGAATCTCTGCATGTGATTGGGATCCCCGCACTCGTAACAACTCTTCGGTACAATGGGCTGCTGACTAAGAATCTGGCCCTGGTAACCTGAAAACCCACTGGAAGAACCCTGAATAGCTGGTGGGATATAAGAACTCTCTAGTATAACACTGAAATAAGGTCGCACTGGAACACCCCGAGGAGGCAGCGGTACTGGATATGGGGGCCTGCTAGACTGCCCTCTCATGAACTGACCTCTATCCCCAGACGGAGCACCTCTGAACTCTCCAGAATATCTAAACCGCTTATCTCTCATAACCTGCTCTCGGCTACGCTGACGCACACCCTCAATTCTCCGGGCTATCTCCACACTAGCTCATAAGAAGTACCCATCTCAACCTCTCGGGCCATAGTGGCCTGAATACTAGTATGTAAACTTGCAACAAATCTCCGCACTCTCTCCGCCTCAGTAGGGAGTATCATAAGTGCATGGCGAGATAACTCAGAGAACCTCGTCTCATAATTGGTCACTGACATCTGGCCCTGCCGGAGCTTCTCAAACTAAAATCGCAACTCTTTCCTCTGGGAGGGTGGAATATACCTGTCCAGGAAAATACAGGTGAATCTATCCCAAGTCATGGGAGGAGAATCTGCTGATCTGCCAAGAAGATAAGACTTCCACCATCTACGGGATCTGCCCTCTAGCTAAAAAGTAGCAAAGTCTACCCCATGAGACTCCAATATCCTAATATTGTACAGTCTATCCCTGCACCGATCAATGAAATCCTGGGGATCCTCATGTCGCTCACCCCCAAAGACAGG